TTTTTTTTTTTTTTTTTTTTTTTTTTTTTTTTTTTTTTGTGGTTGGACTCGATGATCTCTGAGGTCCCTTCCAACCACCACAATTCTGTGATTCTGTGATTCTGTTAAGAAGGGAACATAAATACTGCCCAAAGGCATCACTGTTGTTTGGAGGAAGTGCCCCTTCAGAAAAATAATCCAGACCTTGTCCTACATTCCTATATTGACTTCTTAGTTTGACAGCCAAGAGGATTTTGCACGATTTTTCACCTTCTCAGATGGGTGCACGTTAAGTTTAGTACCCCTTCTCTCACCCTTAGCCAGTGTTAGACAAGTTGTAGGGCACAGAAATTATCTAAAGCTTAATAACAGTTTTTATGGGTAGTATTTATCACTTCCTGGGAAGGCAAAAGTGGTTTTGCAGTTCAGGGGCACCTGTCTTAAAGAAGTCTTCTCATAAGTTAGTTCTAACCCAAAGAAAAAGGCTGCCTGCTACTACTGTTACTGAATGTAACTAAATGTTTTCCAAAGGTTCTTTCAAAATCCAGGAGTATCACAACAGCACATAATGCCAACTACCCCAGTGCCAGCAAGACTGTAAGAACAGTCTTGCTGCCCAAATCTCCTCCTCTCTTGTTAAAGTGATCATTTTCAATGGAAACATCTCCTGCCCTAAAGTCCAAATTGATTTTCTGGGGGAAGCAACTGCCCTACATTACTGCGTATGCACCATATTATAGAAGAAAAACTTGTGCATCAGTATCTTTCAGGAAAAAAAACGCTCACGCCCACCTCTCCCCTCCCCTTGACGTTCTATGCAGCAATGAAGAGGTCTGGTGTTCTACATTCTAGAAGGGTTTTCAGTCTTCTATCACCTTTCCTTAGCCACTTCCCAAATATCACCAGATCACCTAAATATTTTTTCTTATATAGAATCACAGAATAGTAATAGTTCAGGTTGGAAAGCACCATTAAAGGTCATCTAGTCCAACGTACCCTGCAAGGAGCAGGGACATCTTCAACTAGATGAATTCAATCTTGAATGTTTCCAGGGATGGTGCATCTACAACCTCTCTGGACAACCTGTGCCAGTGTTTCACCACCCTCAGAGTAAAGAATTTATTCCTAATATCTAGTCTAAATCTACCCTCTTTCAGTTTAAAGCCATCACGCCTTGTTTTATCACAACAAGCCCTGCTAAAATGTTTATCCCCGTCTTTCCTGTAGGCCCCCTTTAAGTACTGAAAGACCACAATAAGGTCTCCCAGGAGCCTTCTCTTCTCCAGGCTGAACAACTCCAACTCTCTCAGCCTGTCCTCATAGGAGAGGTGCCCTAGCCCTCTGATCATATTTATGACCCTACTCTAAACCCGCTCCAAGAGGTCCATATCTTCCCTGTGCTGAGGGCTCCAGACCTTGACGCGGTACCCCAGGTGAGGTCTCACCAGAGCAGAACACGGGCAGAATCACCTCCCTCAATCTGCTGGCCACGCTTCTTTTGATGCAGCCCAGGATACAGAGCTGGTTATATATATTGACGGCAAGGGCAGTGTGCTCTGTCAAAGCAAATTCCTAATGTTTCTGGCTTTTGATCTGTGTACCTCGACTTCTTGGAGGCCTACAGGCATAAGGGTCAGACAGCTTAGCTGTTTTGCACTTGGTGGTAGATTCCATGTTTTCAGACCGCCTCCTGTAGACTTCCATCTGTGTGTAGGTAAATCTCCATTCACTATGAGGAAGTTAGGAAGCCTAAGGACAATGCTCTTTAAATGGTTGAATATAAAATCTGAGGTCTTCCATCTTTTGCAGGTCTGCCAAGCTGCAAAAATTATGAAATGCTCCTTCCTCTTCCCTTGAAAGCATGTGTTTTCCTCAAATGAAATAAAAGCTCCTATAGCAAAGGGAATTCAGGGCAAAGGTTGAGGACACTATGTACAGAATTGATACTTTGCTATTTTTTTCCATTTAGGTGTTCTCTCTCATACATTTATGCATCCCAATCAAGGTTTCTATTTTAAAAAAATAAGCCTTTGAACTTAAAACTCCCAACACTAAATTATGCAAAGCTAGAAAAATTGTGCTCTCCTTTCACAGCAGCATAGTCTCTCTTTTCCAGCTTTTTCCTGCTTATTGTTTGAATGTTTTGTGACAAAGGGACGAAAAATACCAAATGGACAACAGTTAACTTCTAACCAGACCAGTTAACAGTTAACCAGTTAACGTCTAACCAGACCATCCTACATCAAATGAAGAATTTAGAGAGATGTCAAACTTTCATCAAAAGGCAGAGAGAGTTCACAACACCTACAATAACGTCAAGAAGCCAGCTCCAAACAATTTATCATTTTTATGACACCTAGCAACAAGACTACACAAATACTTTAGACTTACAGCAGACAATCTGAAATCCACACATTACTATTCACAATAATGCAATGACAACTTCTTAGCCTAATATTCTGTTTTCAAAGTACAACTTCATTCAGCACCTTTAGTGTTTGGTAAAGCAAAAATCAGACTTAAATCTATCTTGTAATGAAGTGGTACTAACAAATGCAGTCCTTTTTTGCCCCCCAGCCTCTTTTTTCACCTTTTTCTTCTGTTATGTGATGTATGTGCTGTTTAACATCTGCACACCTCAGCAGCAATGGGCAGTTAGGGTAGTCTGAGTCTAGCACAACTTGATCGAGTGGCTGGAACTTTCCTTGCTGCTGAAAATACATCAAAGGTATTATAAAAACATTATTATAATGTTAAGCCACATATCCACAGTACACATACAGAGAAATATATATGCATGCAATGGCCATAGCTTTAAAACAAAGGATTTAAAGATTGTATTTTGAATGGTAACATGTGACACATTCAGAAACTGATTACAAAGCAAACTATAAATATTTATTTCAAACCAGTAAATACCTGCAAAATGCTGAACTCTTCAATTACTGCACTTAAAAGACCAAATTTAATACAACATGGGGAGAAACTAATGTGAAGTACAGCGGGATTTCTTGGAAGATGACATAAGACACAGTAGTCAGTATGTGCCAATACTGTTTTAGACCAAAACCTGTTGGATTCAACCCAGTGTCATAACTTCCATTCAAATTTTGCTTTTGCTTCCATAAAGATAAATCTCAAAGGACCAGGGCAGCTTCTGGAACACAGTATTAACCTTTCACCTCTGCAAAGTCAATTCCAGTTTGGCTGGAGAATGTATATAAAGAGATTTTGGCACAACTTTAATAGCCTCAACACATGACAGAACCATCAAACAAATTTTGCCGTTGCCAAACAATGTATAATCATTCAGAATGGTTTGGCACAACTGGCAGCCTTCCCTTTGGAAAGATCCTTTAGCGCATCAGTACAAAGACTCAGTGAGCTCTCCATCCTTAGAGAGTGCACAGTCTCAGCAGCCAAAACTGAAGTCATTATACCAGTCAGCATGAAAAAAAGCACTTGGGTATACTGCTTTCATTATTAATTAATCCTCTTGATAGACAGTCTGGGGCTTAATAGAAGTAGCCATCCTTTGTTAAATCACAATAAAAACAAGCAAAAAAGCCAAACAAAAAAACCCAAACAAACAGAAAGGATTCAAAGGGTTTTTTCTCCTGAAAAAGGCACAATAACAATGACAAAAAAAAAGGTTCTGAGAGGCAGAAATAAAGCTGCAATAAACTGTTTCCTATGGATAACTTACCTGCACAAACCCACTTGTGTCCTGAAGCAAGACAGCCACATTTACATTGTACAGGGACACAGAGCCTAAGCCAAGAAAGTCTGCTGGGCAGGAGATGGCTCGGCTCAGAAGACAGATTAAGCAACCCTGCTCCACACTTTCAAAATCAAAGGATGATGCAAAGGATGATCCGAAGACACCCAGTGGGTACCTTCATAGTCATTAGTTCAAGCCAGAAGTGACTGTGCTGCATTCAAGCTGGCCTTGCATGAGGTATCTACAACACAACCCTCAAGACTTCTCTTCACTGAAGAATATGCTAACTTAGGCAGGGCTCTGCAAGAATGCATTTGCCCTGATATATGACCCAGAACAGCTCTATGCATTTATTTGGCACCACACCTGGCCTAGAAAACAAGAAAACCTAGAAAGCAACATACCAAGAATGTAAAGGGCAGTACAGGACTCTTCCCATGCACAGTAATAGCAGCAGTAGTTGTCCTGTATTCAGGCTACCTCAACTCTCTACCACATAGACAGAGGAGGTTTACTGTTTCCCCAATTTAAGTTCGGTACAAAGCTTTCAAAGGGATGCTGAATTCAAACTCAGCACAGTGCCTAGAGCACAAGTTAAACTATTTTTTGTGAAATGACTTCCGATGGGCCACTGAAGCAGGAACAGACCACAGAAATACAGAATATGTTTGCACATCCTATAACATAAATAATTTAAAATAATTTTAGAACAATAGGATACTATTACAAATGTCTAGTAGGACTTTATTTCTTCACCATACAAAAATTGTTCCTCTGCATTCTCCAGTTGAAGTCTAAAGCAGAAAATGGCAAGCAACTCTTACAATGTATACAGTGAAATTATTGCCTCCATGAAACAAAAAACAAGGATCAACATTTACATTTTATTTTATGCACTTTGTTCCACAGCCAGATTACAAACAATAAATCAGTAACTTTGCCTATGCCTTTTTGATACACCTTGGAAATTTAAGTGAGGTTTTGCCACACCCATGATAAATCAATTAAGCCACTTATCAATTATCCAACTTTTGGATACTTACTCATCCTGCTGCTGTTCTATGATACAGCATCTCTACAAATATGGCTTCTAAAAAGGCAATGTTTCAAGTTCAAACTGCCACAGAAACATTTCTTCTTCCCCCCGCCCCATAGCATCCGAATTCTTCTTTCTTTTTCCCTTCTTTTCCAAAATGAATCATCTACTGATTCCTCAGAAAGGGCAAGAGTTTGTTTTACTCCGATGACATCTCATCATTTAAAATTCAATAGTTCTGGGAAAGGCTCACACAAAAGGACAAAAGAGATTCTCTGCTTCTCTTAAAAAGGAGGTGATTAGAGTTTGTTGAGATTGTAAACTGACTCCTGGAATATACTTTACTGACAAAAAAACTTGATTCAAACAAAAGTACTCCTAGGGTGGACATCTCTGCTTTAAATGCAAATTACATTTCCATTATTATGGAAGCCCCTCTTTGTAAAATGAACATAACTTCTACAGAAAATGAAGTCAGAATGCTTCCTGCTGAGAATTCCAGTGAAAAAAATAAAGCAGGCTTACCTCCTTGTCTGCCTTTATGAGGTAGTAAAGGATCAGAAATAAAGGGTCCATTGGTGTAACAAACAGCAGGCGCCCATCTAAGTGACAGATATGTAAAAGTAAGCTTAGCACCAAGAGTCACAATGTAGTGAGCTTTTTTTTTTTTTTCTGGATGTTCTTCAGGAGTATGGGCAGAAAAGGAGAGTTGGTTTTTTTCAGTAAGTATCCCAATATTTTAATAAAATGGGTGGAAAAACAGTATTTGTGATTTTATATTAAAAATACAGAAAGAGCTCAATTCTCAACCGTGCCAAACCAAAGCACAACTCCACTGCAGGTCTGCTGGCTTCAAGCATTCTTAGTTTTGCCTTTTCTGGACTATATTAAAACTAGCAAAATTGAAGCTGCCCTCTATTGGCAGATTTGGGTGTACCAGAAGCTTCTTTTGGGATATCAGGTATATCCAGTATACTCCAGCTCAAACACCGGTGAAGGTAACACCATGCTGGCAGAAGAGGTAGGCAGAGTAAGAAAGAATTCCAAGAGCTAATTAAGTGAGAGCTACCTCTCACCTGTAGGGGGAGAATCTGCATGCAGACTCCTAATGGAACTAAATAAACTTAAATAGATCAGAAAATGTGGCTCAGTATGCTGTATTCAAAGTCACATACAAAGGAAGAACTTGGTCTCCCATTGAAACAGACACCTCTGCCCATCTGGAGCTCATTGCAGGACAATGGCTTAGTCAGGCTTTTTGTGTAATTGTAGATAATTGGAAACAATGTAACATCAAGGAAATTCACTAATGAGACCCAATAATTGATGACAATTTGACATTAATTAGCAAACCAAAAGCAAATAAATGCATTTTTTTTTTGTTTTTACTCACATGATTAAGATAATTAAAGAAAAGGAAATCCTATTGCGATGGCCCTAAAACTAACAAAAGACGGGGTGGGAAGAACGTGGTTTGGCCAAAGCTGATAGCCAATCTACCATCTGTACTATAACACCATGCATTTGTGTGAGGCAAAGCAAGCATCAGTACTACTCACAAACATGAAAGCTTTGATAATAAAACTGGAGGGGAAAAAAAAACACTAGCCACTTTCTCAAAGCTTCCATTTTAATGCTTTCCACTGTACCTCCAGGAAGAGTTATTTTTATTTGTTCTAAAGAATTCAGACTCCCTGTAGGTGTATAAAGACCTCTGCCATCCTCTGAAGATAACAAGACAATTTGCTTTAACTGCAAACACACAGCTTTTTTGTGTTGTTCTTCCCCTGACCATTTCAGAGATGCAGCAGCCCTAACATTCAGGAACGATTTTTCCCCCTGTATCTTTTAAAGAAAACTGAGGCAATGATTCCTTAAGGCAACTATTTCCCAAGGGCGAAAACAGAGGTTAGAAAGGGAGGAGGAGAACACAATGTGGACATAATTGGGAGCAGGGAGCAGACCCAGTCTTTTGGCTCACCCCCAAATGGAGCAAGGAAAAGCTCAGAGACATACCACTTGCATTGCTATATGCACCTGCAGAGGATGTTTAAAAGTTAACACACACTTTGGGATATTACCACTAAAGAAGGCATATGTCTGAGGCAGTTGCTTTATTACTATAAATGGTCTTTTTTCCAGTTAAAAAAGGACGAAATAAATATACCTTCATCTCCTGAATTAATAATTATTGCTTGGTCTATGGGCATGCTGGCAAAGAAACACTACTCCAGTGACATTCTTACTGATAAAGGACTGTTAAAGCCATCACAGCCAGTTACGTAGGTTTCCTCCTCAATTTGAGAAAGGCAAGGTAGGATCAGAGAAGGACTGGCATGGTATGGACCAGCTCACTTCAGATAAAACACTGAAATGGCACCTTCTGACAGCAGGCCTATCCTAAGATCCCAGCACTTGCACAGGGGACTACAGAGGTAATTAAAGGAAAGCAAGACCATACATTCCAATGCTTAGAGCTCTAACACACCGCCCTGCTTAGCTAGCCAAGGCCTTCCAGCCTTTTCTCCTTCCGTAGGGTAACACACATTTTACTTAAACTGAGGACTTGCTGGTCTGATTGACAAGGCAAGCTAAGTATTTTATGGCACTTCAGTTTAAATACAATTGAATGTCTTCCCCCTCCCCCGCCCCCTCCCCCCCCTTCCTCAAAGACAAATGAACATCTGTCTAATTGAGGCTGCCAAAGGCAGCCTTTTAAAGAGAGACCACAAAGCCCCCAGCCCTGGTTAAATCCAGATGGCAAACGAGCGTGTCAGAAGGTGGGGATGTGATGCAGCATGCCTCAAACAACTAGGAAAAACACCTGTAAATTTACTAGAAGAGAGAGGGAAGGGCTGTGTAAGAACACCAGTTACAGTTAGGGTAAGGATACATTGTATTACTCACCTTGTTGAACAGTCTGACCTATAAACCAGGAACGACATTCCTCATGAAAAGCTTTTACTTCAAACAGCTGCTGTGCACCACTATTGAATAAGTAAAGGGTTGCTTCCCCTGTTGAAAAGAAATCTGGTTTGTGTTTGTCAGCTTTCACAAAAATCAAAAGAATACCCAATATGTCTGAAGAATGTGCCTTATATACATACAGACACACAAACATACACACATTCTACATAAACTCACTACAAAGAAAGCTCAGACAAAGAAAACTATTATATACAGATGTTCACTTACCAGCTCTATAAACCAAACTGAATTTGAATCAATAAATAAGATGTGTGAATAGTTCATCTTACAACACAAAGCCTTTGATCCAAACCCAAATCAAAATCACTCAAGAAATCAGCCTTTGTCTGTACTGAAGGGGGAAGGTAGAAAACAAGAAAATTCCCTCTCCTTCCACCATGTTTCTCTCCAAGATATCAGACACTGGGTTAGAGGAACAAAAGTCTCAAACCTTCAAGTGACAGTTTGAAATAATGTTGGTTTTCTGCATCCAAATGGATTCCTGATGACTCAGTATGGGTAGACTAAATAAGGTGAACAAGGAAGCTAAAAGAAGTTGCGTCAAAGTGCCCATCAGAATCTTGACAGTTTGGAAAGGAAAAGGAAAGCTTTATCATAGGCCACCCCACAGCACAGCTCTGCCATTTCACATTAGTTCTGGGCTATAATGAAAGGGTGACGAATACGTTGCCAACAGGATTGGCATTTTCCATATCGAAGACAGGAACTTGCCAGAACTACAGAAGGGGCCACTGAAATTTGGTCAGCTGAGTCTGTTGGCCGGACTGGTACTGTCTTGGTTATCCATCCTGAAGAGGCCAGAGCAACTACAACATGACAGTCTTCCTCAACACACATGAATTGCGAAGCTGCCCTGACTTGGAGATCAGGAAAGTCTCAGTGTCAGCCCCTGCCAGCTGCCATCAGCACTCCTGCTCTCAGTCTGCAGAGATCCCTAGGTGCTGAGGGAGGTTGGCTAAAAGGGGTAGACACATCTCTTCCCCAAAATGAATGATAATGCATTTCCCCCCCCCCACTTTATCCAAAAGGCCAACCAGATGTTCAACCTCACCTAAGGATATAGATTCAGTTTGCTGATATTAATTTTTCTTTTGGGGAGGGGAGGAGAGGAGTGAATAGTAGATTTAAGGGGGAGTAGAGATCCCAGTCATTACCACATGCTTCTCAACAACGGTGTTGGCCATAGTTTGATCAGCACCAGACATCAAACTACTCACAGAAGTGCTCACCAAACAACTTAAGACTCCTACCAGTGAGTGCGCTAGCCAAATGCGGTGGTGAGCTACGAAATCTGTTGTCTAACTCCAGCTCCTTAATTTATTTGCTTATGTTAAAAAGGCAGTCACCACAGGTTCCCAACAGTGTCGTTAGAGAGAAACTCTAGTGGATGGAGAGAGAACCTCAGCAGCTTTGCTCACAACTTTACCACTTCAGTTAGTCGCTTAAGTCTTGCAGCATGGTTATTTTCCTTCTTTTAGTTCAGCACTTTGAAAAATGCTTCCTGTGCTACTTCTGGATTGCAGGCTGAACCCTAGTTTATAGCCTTTGTAAGGGATAGAAATTTTGCCCTATCTATAAAGGGGATCAAGCATACTTTTATTTAATAAAGCGGTTAGCATAGATTCCATAGTGCGCTGAGCCCTTCAGTGCGTATTTATACAATTTCTGGCATCAACAATTCATCTGTTACACCAAAACGTAAGGAAAATACATTAATAGGGTGTTCTCAGTCCTTCCATTTTCAGATCCTATACTTATAACAGGCTACATAACTGAAAGTTTACACAGGTCTATAAATAAGCTCCTGTAAATTCTAAAGGAACACACCCAGGAAATCATTGTATTTCAGGTTTTCTCCAGAAATCTTTCCCAAGATCTGTGATTCTACAAAGCAAACAGATCTCTTCTTCCTTAGAGAAAAGCAAAGTAATACCTACACTTTTAAAAAAACACAACAAATTAGAAAGGCAATATAATACAGCAGGTAGAAAATATCCATCGTTATATATTCTCACTGTAGATCTGAGCAATCAAAAAACAGGTATCATGATGAGTGATTTCACATTCTGTATCTATTGTTTTTAATTATTTTCATCTGTCAAGAACAACTAACAGTTACTATATTGTGACATTAAGATGTATCTAAAGACTCCGAAGATTTTAGCTACGAACATATATAAATACGAGCAATGAATTTCAAAACACAAACATACAACTTAAACCTACAGAAAAAAACCTAAGCTTATGAAAGGAAAGAAAAACAGCATGAAATGTGTTTTTCAAACAAAATGTGTTAACCCTAACAAGGGCTTACTGCAAGTTAGTGTTGCAGAATCTCATACTCCAATTATTACATTACTCATATAATAACAAATTCTTGACAAAATGAACAATCTGACTAGAAGAAAGAAACTGTGGGATGGTGGTATCATTATATTGCCTGCACGTGCCGGTCCTTCCAATGTATTGAATTCAAAGTGCCTCATCATCCATCAACAAGAAAAGAGACACCACCACTTGGACCAGGGAAAGAAGAAAATTAGATTTCAAAATGAAATGACTCAAAAAGCTTGGTAAGTATAACTGAATCACTTCTTCTAACTCTGACTATTTATTTTATAGCATAAGATGAATGCTATGAAGCCCAAATTTGGATTAAAAAAAAGCCCAGGCTCAACACCCAACACTGTAAGGTCCCCAAAACTAATGCACTTAAAAACAGAACTTAAATTACACTTCTTTTTTTTGTGCTGCCAATATTTCTGATGAATAAACAGTTCAACCAATTAAAATTATAAAAGAAATCCTAAATGTTTGCACAGCATTAACTATCTGGCATCACCAGCGGTATCTTTGGCACATAAGACTCATACTATCATCATTATTTCAGCTTGCAAAATACGAATCTTTTGGTGGTGAAGGGAATCAACCGGAACATTAGGAGGCTCATGTCACAATTCCAAAACTTGCCTGTGCTTGGATTGCGCAGTTTTGTAAACAAAGGTTCGCTGTCAGGTGTCTTAGGGGGGTCAGTAGCAGCCTCTGTAGGGGGAGAGGAAAAAGTTATGAACTTGTAAATTGAGAAGTACTTCACTTTCTGCCACGCTTCTCCAAGACATTCAGAATTAATTGGATTGACGGTTTCTGAAAACCCATGTATTTTCTGCATAAAAGTTATATGCCTCAGCCCAAATACATCCTACCTGATCAAGGCATCTAAATTATAATTCCAGACTTCCTGGCACTCTCTATCTGCCATGGGAAAGATATGCACCTGGGGATGATTTAGATTTTGAAAACCACTTCCCCCTAGAGAGCCTCAGGCAAAAGAGCTCCGAAGTTTGACATCTCAGTTAAGTGAAATGAACTGAAATGTTGCCCTGATTAGTCACAAAGACAATGAGAATGCGTTGGTAAGTTAGGCCAAGTGCAGTGTGGACATTAAAAAGTACAAAAGGTAAAATATTTGTGGGAAGAAACAGTGGTCCTCTAAAGCTTTCAGCAAGTCCGATTATGCAGGAATATGGGGCAGGAATTCTCCGAGTGGTTGTTACTGCTGTGAAAAATATCCCTACTTGTTTATCTGTTATGTACAATCTTGAAAAATAAAGAGTGCATTTAATTCCCCTCACAGGAAAAAGAAGCTGAGAGAATACAGCACCTCTGGCTTAAGCCTCTGACAGTTGTTCTCTTTTCTGTGTCCTTAGCAAAAAAAGACAAAAAGCAGAGCCACAAAAGTACGATTTCTCTGTGAAATTTAAAAAAAAAAAAATTAGAAAAGAAACAGCTCCCACAAGGATGCTGATTCAAGTCTGAAAAAACATCTATAAGGATCCCCACTTAGTTATATTCCATCCAAGTTTTCTTTGTAGGGAAAGTCTAACTTATATGTATGAAGACAACTTCCCACATCTGAGTGAAGAGCAACATGACAGCATCATCTTTCTTAGCTTGCACACTGCCAGTTCTGTCCCAATTCCTTTCACACAGGCATTCATCAGAGCAAGGAAAATTACTAAAGCATTTCACATACATAACCAGTATCCGGACCCCAGAGAAGGGACTGACAGGGATCAGGCTGACGTTTGCATTATGCTGCTGCTGAGGAAAGCAGAGAGGAGCAGCAGAGGCTGCACTGCTATCCACAAGGGAGACTGCTGGAAGGAACAGGAGTGCCACATTGTCCTTGCCCTTTCAGTAGCATCCAGGAGGTTTGTGGAGAAGGAGACAGCACAGTTGCTTTCTATGGAAAGCAGGGAAGTAGGAACCTCAAGTACAACCAAAAATAGCTGTCCTTCACTCTGGCTGAAAGCCTATCCCCAGCACATTTGAAAAGGACAGGTGGACTTCTCATAGGGTGGCCACTGACACCTGAGTGGCAAAAAAAAAAAGCCCCAAGTAACTAACCCTCATCATTTGCATCCACCCCTGGTTATTCAGTTGTGCCACAAACAAAAATTGCCCAGTTAAAGACATAAGCAGGGTTTAAAAAGCAAGTGTGTTTTGTGATACAGTGTTGGAGGATAATAGTTCTCAGGGTGGTTTGGAGAATTCTGTCATTTTCTTCCCCTGAATTTTTAGATGAGTCTTCAGGTGCCTTGAAAAAGTGCTTTGAAAAAGTCTCAATATAAGTTGAGGATTTTTAATGGAAAAAGTCCGTATTTGCTCTCCACACTTGCTTCATATGCTGATACATAAACACACACGGTTGTCAAGCTACATTTGCCCTGGCAAAGGAGAGCTTCAAATTTCTAGAGCTGTGTATATTTCAGTTCTTGACCACAGTTTAACATTAGTGTATTTTTTGTTACTTTTTAAAACACTACAGTGATTAATGACAGTGAAAGAAACACACTGCATGTGTTTACTTTGATGTGTTTCACATGAACATTTTAAAATATACACACTAAATGTGAGTTTCAAAATTTAAAACAAAAAGCAAAACAAAAAAAAATCCCAAAGGAACTTTTAGCGCTCACTTGCTCTGCTCTCTTCATGCATAGATTTACGAACACTGGGAAAGAGTCCAGCCGAGCGTTAAGTTGTATCTTGTGTAACGTGAACAATTAAGTAGACAATCCTTCCTAATGTAGCTGTTTTTAATGAAGTTCACATCTTTATTTAGTTCATGTGCACTTTTCCTAACCTTTTAGTAATGCACTGAATTTATCCATCCCTGCTAAGCCTGGGAGACACCTGCACGTAGGGAATGCTCAGTGTGACAAACCTAAGGGATACCGAGTCCCATCTCTTCATCCTCAATCTTCTGCCTCCCCAGCTCAGATGATCGCCCTCCATCACTAATGCCTGCCCCATGCTATCCCAGGTTCAGCATCCCCTGCTCTACCCCTTTGTAGAAGCTGCCTTGGCTCAGCCAGTAGCTCTTCCCCAAGTGAAGAGCAGCACAGCTCTGCCCATCTAGTTCTCTGGTGCTCCCCAAGTGCCATGGGGTTCATCGCTGCACAGAGGACAGAAGTGATCACACCCTAACGAACAGCCTGGAGTTGCAGCCTTCAGCCCCAGTATCTCATGCTGCTGGGATCCCAGTACACATCACTCCACACAGTTGCCAGGAGGGACACACACACACGCGCATGCACACACAAAAAGAAGGGAAGGAGAGGGCAAAGCCAAAAGTGTTTTTTTCTGAGTTTCTTCTACCTTCAGTTTCCTTAAAATGTTGGCAATGCCCTACTCTAAGGGCATCTGAAGTGTATTTTTGCTACAGATTGGCTCTACTAGATGTCAAGTTGGCAGATAAAAAAAGGCAATTGGGAGAATGCCTGCTTGGAAAACTGGATGCAATATTAACGCGGCCTTAAGGGTGAAGAAGGCCCTATTTATCTGAATTTAAACACTTTATGGCTAGAAAAATGCTAAGCAAGGGATTTTAGAAGTTAGGTGTCCAAATCTAACTTGTATGTGTTCTGGCCTATAGCCAGGAAAGGTAACTGGATTTCTTTAATGTCATTATATTTATCAGTCCTTGTATATAGGAAAGGATCTCTTATAGCTAAATAAATGAAGACTTCTTAAAAAGCAGTACTGTAGCAATTTTCTAGAAAAACTAGCAGTTAAAATAGATTTTTTTTTTTAAGATTCACATCCAGGTAAGAAATACTCTTACAGAAAATAGACAAAAGGGACTACAGGCAGCGCTCTTTGTTAAATCCTAAAGGAAAACATCAGATGATCGCCACTGCACGTACTACAACAGTTTCCATAGCTCAGCCCTGAGAAACTTGTTCATCTACAAGAATAACAAATGAGAGAGGTAATACCTTTTTGACTGAATATTGTAATCTCTACCAACTGTCTCACAGCTGTAAGCTGCAGGTAGCACACAGTCAGTAGAGGTCAGCTCACTAACAGATGTGTCAGTACATCATGCTATTCTCCTAGGACAACATTCACTACATGGATACAAAAAAAAACAATACAAGGGGACAGAGGGGCACAAGCAATCCTTTCCCAAGGAAGCACCTCAATTAGCAAGCCACTCTTTAAATTGGCAGGGCAGACAGATGACAGGCACTCCCAGGAGGCAGCTGAACCCACCTAAAACCTAAACCCACCTCTATCATCCCCTGCAAGTATATGCCTCTGTCTCCATCGAGCTTGCAGACCCCTCCAGCAATTCGGAGTGAATCCGAAGGCAGCACCGCTGCGGCTACACCAGAGGAGGGAGTTCTGAGGCAAACACGATGCAGGACAATTAAATGCCAACACTGGGCTGATAAGCACGTCTGCTTTGCTTAAGCTATAGTCTAATGTTCATTCACTATTAAATCACACAAAGTCCATCTAAAAACGTGGGTGATATATCCATCAGCTGTACTGGAGTCTACAGACAGAATCCTGACGCTGAGCGAAAGAGACTATAAAAGCTTAAATGAAGCTTTCCATTACAGAAAAAGAGAAAAGCCTATCATATTTCATGGAGGTCAGACATACAACCAGGCAAATTCTATAAAATATATAAACAGAACAAAGTGAAAATGAACCAGCTGTCAAAGGATTTCTGGCAATAATTTCTCCCACAATGGATAGATATGAGGCACTAATGAATCTGGCCATTAAAAAAAGAAAAAGTGTACACTGGTACAGCAACATGAATAAATTGGAAAAGAACATAAAACTCCCACTAAGATCTATGAAACTGTTTTGGATGATGCAAGGTCTATCCACTTTTTTTTTTTATTAAAAAAATTGCTTATAGAATACTATATATAACAGACTAATATCAAGTTATATGGAATTCCCATGCAAAAAGCTGCCAGCCAAGCAAGCAAAAAGGCTGTAAATATCTGTCAATTGCGTAAGAGGAAAAAACCCTCTGAGAGCACAAATTTCCCTACCACCATCACCCTGCAAAAAACAGGATTATTTAAAAGTCTGGAAATATAAAGTTAAGATTTCATTTAAAAACAGATATTAAACCATACGTCACCTACACAAGTCTTTTCCATTCCCTTCTTAACTTCTAACCACGCACGAAAGGTGTGTCAGATGGAGACATTATGATGGAGCCCATTAAATGGACATTTTATGGAAGACTTTAGACTATGTAGCCTTAGGGTACAGATATGTCAGATCTAATCATCACTTTATTTATGTTCTTGTTAGAACCAGTCAACCCTGAAGTAAATGGTTGAAATCCAGTGCCTGTGTTCTCTGTCCTGCAGCATACTCTGAAAAAAGCCCAGTGCAAATTAATTAATAATTTCAGTACTTTGTATCACCCAAACTTTTGACAATTTTTGTAAGCTACAAGGGCATTAACTATTAGCATAGCGAATTAATTCTGGTAGGCACAGACTGAGGATACAGTTTCATGGATGGCTTCAAGTGACCAAAGATGAGAGGCCATTGAAAAGCATAGTCCTGAGGTTCCTACCTCTGCTCCCTCCCTATTGCACATCTCTGCTGCTTTCTTTCCATCAAAACTAGGAAACTGGTGGCCACACAGCAAGTCGGCTCAGTTCACTGATTCGGCTGAGAAATAGTTGGTCACAAAAAAGTAGTATTAATTTTCAGCCGGA